AAAGAACACAAAGCCCATGGCAGGGAGGGGGACTATGAGAAGTTAGCCATCATCAAGCATTCCCACGCCGAAGACCACACCATCTACTGGGAAGAAGCCCACCTCATCGCTAGCATCGAACAGTGGTACATGTACCGATACATGCACGACATGGACAAATCTAGCTACCCTTTCACACAAGCTTTCTTTTCCTCAAATACATGTGGCTAGTTAAAATCTACTAATGTACATGTATGTATAAAAGGAACAGGCACAATGTACTACCGTATCTGACAGCTTCCAACGTCCATCCCACAGATTCTTGTGTTAAATTTTAGGGCAAATTTGAACATCTTGCATTAATTTCAAATCATACCCTTCAAGGGTTGTTTAAATTTTGTGCTCCAACAAAGTGGAGTGCAACTGGTCCTCACAAATTCTATATACATGCACATATGTAACATGTACTTGAATTATGAAAGCTTTAACAATTACAATTTAGCCAAATGGTTATACCATATACATGCACCGGCATTTTACACACGTTTGATAATCCTTCGATTCAGTGGCAGGAAGTGAGAAGACATGGCTATCTGCAAAAGTGAAAATATTTTGGTCACTTTCTTGACAGACTGAGACACCAAATTGCAAGGTTTTCACATGATCAAATGCTATTCTACTGAAATTGGATCTGGACTCTTCCAATGCCTTTTTTCTCAAATTCTTTAATCTTTTCAATGGTAACAGTGCACAGTGCAGATGTCAGTCAAGCTGGTTCCAGTACATGTACATGTACCAGAAACAAAAAACAAATCCTAACATGAAAGCAAATCACTGGCCACTGGATGTAACTTTGGTATAAACCAGGGTTGTGGTGTCTTGTCAAGTACATACATATGTCACATTGATATTGAAAGGGTGAAGTTGTTAGTGGTGAGCAAGCCATAAGACAAAAATCCCTCTCTACAGGAATTATCTACAACAGCCATCAGAGGGGAGTGGGAGAGGGAGTACATGTAAGTCCTCCACTGTCAGTCACTGAGTCACCCAGGTGAATCAGGCTGCTTCAGACAAACAAGCTTGATCTTAATGTCTTTTTTATGCACTCAGACCCCGAACCATGCTGTTGATGAATATATTTTGTACTGTACCCGGTAGGTAGGGGAGAGATGATACATGTACATATGATTGCTCGGCACGAGTTGGCAAAAGGGACATTGTAAAGCTAGAATCTGTAATAATACGGATCTAGCAAATGTCAAAGATTTCTTCTTCTGGCAATGCAACTGCATCTGAAATTGTTAAGTTGTCATCAGAAACTGCTCTTAGATCCTGCTGACTTTTACATGTTGTATGAGGCAAAGAGACTCACATACTGACCTGAGATTGATTCTTGGACAGCGCCAACCTCTCTTCCTGGATCAAACTGAACTGAGTAGTATTTCATGAGCAAATCCTTCCCACTAACTGAGCTCACTCTGTGGCTGTGAATAAGAAGGCAATGGCATATTGAATATCAATCTGTTTTTCCAGCGGACGTTTCAGTGTCAGCATTTCTAGCAACCATGGAAAAAACAGATATTGCACAACTTCACACCATCCCCAACTCTACAAATGGAGAGCTCAAAACACTATTAAACACCACCATTCTGGAATTTTGTTAAGTTTTTTACTGAACTGTCAAATCTCCTGATTTTTCTTCTGAATCCACTGATGCTTTTCCCCTTAAAGCATGTCACTAGCATCCAACCAACCACTTCATGGTTTCTCTCACCCTGTCAGATCTTGGTCATGGTATAATCAGTCTCTTTTACCGGGGGAACTATTTGTTGGTTCTTGGCTGCTGGGTGATTTTCTCCCTGTGGCAACTGCTGTTCTCATATTAGTGTTTGATGCACTGAGTGGTACTTCACTTCTACTGACAGTAGATGGTCACATTGCTATTTCCTATCCTCTGCAGTACCCTTCACTGATGACTGAGTTCAGATCCAAGATCACTGTATGCACTTCATGGGCTTTGGTATTCTTGATCTTTTTTCTGATAAACAGGATTTACATGTACGACACAGTTACCGTTACATGTGTCTGGGACTACAAGATGACTCGAGGACATATCTTTTTGTTACACTTGCTACTCTAATGCTGACAATCATATTCATCCTGTATACACACATCATGCTAATGGCTTGCAATCAAGCCAGACCCACTGCTGCTGAAAACCAAGCAGGCAATGGCCAAGGTGGGCAAAGAAACACCAGATCAACCACCACCATCATCATATCAGGGACTCTCAACATCACCTGGATTCCTACAATGGTCATAACTGGAATCTCTCTTACATCCAAATTTACAATTGCCCATTAGAAAATCAAACAATGATGCCTTCACAATGCCAAATCACAGACCATTTACCAAGGGATGTGCAACTTAAGCTCAGAGTTGGTTCAATGCGTGTTACGGCTGGCACAATATCAAAGCAGAAATTAAATTGGGTTATCTCTAATAATAAAACATATATTCCTGTCTACCACTTTGTTTTCTCGTAATATTTTAAGTCAGGGTACACCCTTTCTGAAAATATGTTGCTCAAGATATTTCATCCTATAAATTCTGAGAAAAGTGTACCACAGAATTGGGGAAATTTGCCTCATTAAAACTTCGTTTCTGCTTGAAATCAATAAATGAAGATTTATTCGTCAAAACGAATAGATTAAGCACCGCGTCGGTTCGTCGTCTCAGCATAACCACAGCTGCACTGTAAATGCTGCAATGCATGTCATGTGGTCGGGAATTTTTTTCGAGAAAGTCGAGAACGCCTGCTAGCTGTGGGGGTAATAACAATCCGTAACACGCATGGAACCAAGGTCGCACATGTGTTTGCAATGGGGCTGCTCACGGTTGCACATCCCTGGGTAAAAAGGGTTGTAGCTCTATGGGTAAATGGTCCATGGCCAAATGTTTTCTAAGAAAAAATTCATTTAGAATAGCATTTAAAATATTTCTGTTCAGTCCACATTTAATACATGTCTAGATTTTTAGACCTTCATCAAGCTGTCGAAATGGGGGATACAGTACATGAACATGAGATACATAAACATGTATGTAAAATCAACCCGGTTGTGCTTCAGTTAGAAATGAGAACAGAGCAGCCATCCATATTATGCAGACCTCTTCGCAGGCATAGTAATTCTCAGTCTGTCGGCATAAGCCTAGCGCTAATACTACATGGGTGATTTTGTACAAAGGCAGAAAGGCATTGTGGGATGGAAAAAGGGACACACTTTGCTCCTTTTTCCTTCCCACAATGCCTTCCTACCAGTGTGCCGCGTACATGCACCTTGAAAGTACATGTTCTGACTGGAACCAGCAAAACTGAAGTCCAACCGAATCCACTTGTTTCCACGCTCACATAATGCACAATGTGGTTCTCAGCCATGAGTACTATCGCAACACGCAACATCGAGCCGGGGGCAAGGCAGTGGCATGTGTTGGACAGTTGGCCCAGTTACCTGCACGCAAGCTGAGTCTACTACGGCCAGTACGGGAAAGTTAAAACTCATGACTTGTACAAATCCTGGCCATTTTATAATGTATTATGTGTTAACAGGTGGACTTAAAATAGACAGACAAAAGGTGTTCACAAAATTCGATATAGTTAAGGGACTCCTGGAAATTCTGTATGGTCGAGGGGAGAGGGTATTATCCAGCAAGGCTTTGGCACATTTCTGTTGCCAGCAATTTACTCATATCTGTTGATTTGTCCCATTTTAAAAACGAAAAATCACCTATTTTGACAGAATTTGAAATTGAGTACACTGTATTTTGAAATTGCACATTGTTGGGATCCATCCCCCGATAACCAGACAGAGCTCCAGTATGACCACAAACGTGAACCTCCCAAGCCCATGAATTTTAAGCCCATTGACAAAACTGTTCGGCGACACTTCTTCACTGCTGAAAAAACATCAGCAAGAATATCGGAAGGCACTTATGACTACAGAGGACTCCAAACAATTACAAAGTACACATGCATTTGAGTTTCTAGCTGTTTGATGAAGGCCTACATGAGGTATGATTGAGAATTACCGGTAGGAGATTTTTAAGAACTTCCACAGTCTAGCTATCTGTCCATTGCTTTAAAATCCAACTCATCACTTCAAATTACCAATTCAGTCTGTTTAGTGTATGTTTAGTTTACAAATAAGAAAAAGAAATCTGCTTGCCCTGAAGAAGGTACTCAGTTACTGAAAGCTCGGCAATCCCATATTCTAGAGCACTGATTTTATATTATATTCTTGTCACGATTTTGTGCGTGATCGCTACTTACCACACACACGTGGGCCAGTCCGACCTCTGCATAATGTGTTTGCAATCAGACTAGCATCACTCTTGCCTGGTCATCACAATCATCATGCCCACAATGTAATCCTCTTTTTTATTCAATTTTCAAGATAAGTTACTGTTTCATTTTAATAAACATCGGATCTCTACAATATTGTGCATTTATACATCTTTAACCAATAAAAACTCTACGAACAAATTCAACACTTCAAAGAGAGATCATTGATGAACTCATTCCCGCACAAGAACCCTGCACATACAAAGCCTTCCACGCTAATCGAGGTTATTCTTATAAAATAGCATGCTGTGTCACAAATTTATGTTTATAAACAGAAATATAAAGCAGAACAAAATATAAACATTTTAGGGGTAATCAAAAGTGGGTTCATTGGTCAGTTTGAAGCTCCGGATCTGATGGAACTGCAATTTTTGTACAGGTATATCGGCTGAACGGCATGTGGGTGAAAGCTGGGTACCAGTCACAGCCTCCGGGTAGCAGGTGTGCAAGAGACCTTCAATGGAAATACGCACGCATAGTGCGTGCACAGTACAGCTCAGATTCCACGTGTGGGTACTTTACAACTCGAGAACGGATGAATTACATCTACAAAAGTAATGTTGTCTGTCACTTATTTTCCTCGATTTTGCAGTCCATGGTTTGTTCTGAAATTCAACCCTCCCCCGGACGGATAGATAAGGCCACGAAAGAACTTAGGGCCTAAATGTGAAAAAATAGTTTTTCAAACAAGGTAAACCAAGAAAAAATTAGAACCAAATTTGTGGTCGTTTTGTACACAACTTTTATACCCTGGATGTCAGTCGTAATGTAATGAAGACAACCTCCAACCTGGGCTTGGCCTAGGGTCCTACGTACGTCATGACCCTAGGCCTATATAAATATAGTATACGTATGAATGCTAATAAATGCTAGCTTTATTTCACGGTGTCACGCTGTTTTTCCGTTTTGTTTGAGGACGATGGCTACTTGCCATCAATGCTATCAATAACAAAGGGAAATATGATTTTAAAAAACACCATTAGGCCTACTGTGGTTGAAAAAAACCTCACGTTTTTGCAATACCCACCTTGTCCCTCCCGCCCGCGTTCCTGTCCGATATATAGCCCCCTCTGTTGAAAAAGGACGTCGGCAACGCCACATGCACGACGCGTGCTATGTGGCGCATTCCACCAAATCGGTGTATTTCTACGCGCAAGCTTATTAATATTTTGTGACCCCACGAAATTCCTACAATAAGACAAATCATAACGGGAGAGATCATAGAAATATATCTATAAATTCCGAATTTGGGACTGATAGTATCCAGTCCGGGGTAGTTCTTTCACAAAAAGCCCCAAATTGGGGGCCTATTTTGGATAGAGGCGGGTGGCTACATTCAGAAATGCCCTTAGCTTTACTGCTATTTTGGGGTATCTTCCTTGAAAAGCGAATAGAAAAAAAACATAGCAAACCCCCATGAAAATGAAACGAAAAGTGATCTTCTGGCCTTTATCTTGAATTTCCAGTGAAAAAAAAGGAAGCCAGCCTCTTTACGAGAGTCATCAGGCGGCACTGTTTCGGTCCGATTTCGCACTGTTTTCAATGGGCGCGTATTTGTTATGTGCAACTCAACACGCGTAAAGCGCCCTCTACTTAAAAGTGAGAAAATGAAATAGCGCTCTCTATTATTAACCTAGGACAAATCAAATAACGAAGCCACCAAAACTTACTGTGCCACGTACCTCCGGCCCTTGTAACTTAAGAGTAAATCCCATTTTTTTTTACAAAGGCACCCTCGAATAGTGGCCCCATTTTTATAGAGTCAGTAGTTTCTTTTACGTATCTTTGCCTTGGTTCGTTTTTTGCTAGACAGAAACATTTGAAAATTTGTCCATTTCAACTTCAAGGCGTTCCATAAAGTTCATAATTTTTATAATGTGATTTTTTTTCTGCAAAGAATGGCCCTCCTGATATCTCTCAAGTAAAAAATAATCTGAACTACAAATAGGGTAGGGATAGGTTGGCAATAAATTGACACAAACATGTCTCTTTCTTGAATAATTTTATTCAGTAGCTGTATCACACTGTCACTGCTTCAGTTCCATATCTTACAAGTTATTGAATAATCCTATCAAAAATCATTTTGTTTCAACACAATGGGACATCACTCATCTGATCCGTACTTAATCCGAGTTTTCTGGAATATTCTAATGCAACTATACTTCATGAATATCCACGATCAACAAAAGGCAAACCTCTCATGGGACCCTGCACCATCATGTGCCATCCATTCATGCTGTTGGAACATACACACAGAGGAAATATGCATAGAACTATTATTAGAACATATTATTTAGGGGATGAGTGGACCTGGGATTCCGTGGATTGCATTTTGTGGATTGCATATACCTGGGGATTTTGTGGATTACATGTACCTGTGGACTTGGTGGATTATATTCTCCTGTGGACGGCACGGGCAGACTAGACAACAAGAAAATGGCCACAGGGAAACTATTTGACTTATATTCTGTCGCCACTTCCCATCTTTTCAGAATCAGTTCTGGAAGTGAAGTTTTAATCTCCATGCACTGCCTTTTACAGGCCACATCACAACAATCCCTATTAGGCCTTCACATTATTGCCCAAACTACATTAAATGCACCAGCCAATCAGAATGCAGAATTGCCCAGTAGGTGATTTAAGATGCACCCCCTTGCTGTATAAACCAATTGGATCTCACTGATTAAGAACTAAAGCAAGTAGTCGTACATTTCATGTTACAATATAAAACGTACAATGATTCATCACACAGTGCTTAACGGTTGTATTTTCAACCAGTGTGCGCCGGTCATCCTCAGAAGTGGACAACCAGAGCACACTGATGAAAACATCAAGTACACACTGGTTATCAGAGCCATCCCTCTTCCAAAAGAAATCCACATGGTGTTTACTGCAAATGATTTATACTTTCATTAAAATAGCAGTTATTCTGTAATTCCTTTCATATTAAATTGCTACGTTCATTAAACAATGTAACAGTAATATGTACGCAATTAACCTGAGGAGGGGGGGCTGATATTCATAAACAGTCCATGTTACCAATGGCAACATCAAGTCTTTACTAAGAGAAGCAACAAATGGAGTAACATCTAATAGAAGAATACCTCATTATTTAATTGCAACATTTACAGATTTTCAAAATAATATGTACACATTTTTCATAAGAAAGGTATCTGATATGAACCCACTGTCCCTGTTACAGTCATTGCCATTCACCCTAAATACGAGAGGAACCTTTGTTATTTTGAGAAAACAAAAGTTATGACAAATTTTAAATTAACCTGTCTCTCGGATACACCATCTTCATTTAGGAAAAGCTTCACAACATACTTCATAAGAATGAACAGTTGCATTTTTTTCTTTTTACAAAGCAACATAACAGATGAATGCCAGTCTCTAGAACTTTAGGTGATGGTATCTCCATTCAACAATGAATTCTACCACCGTGTATGACTGTTTACCATTGTAATCTACAATGTATGTATTGTCATTTATTCTACAGTTGTAAACTGTGATAAATTCTACTGAGACTTGTTACTGTATTGCGTTTGTAATTTCCCTTCTGGGTGCCTGTTTCAGTCCCTGTTTGTAGTGTTACCCTCCATGGTTTCCCAAGTTTGACAGACCTCAACCATTTTGTAGATAAAAATGTTATCTATTCTTAACTTTCAAAGTGAATAATGTGAACAATTAATGTCAAACCAACCTTTTGATTTGTTTACTTGTTATATATAAAAAAAACCTATTATCATGGAAAGACCCACAACTATACCTAGTTTTCTCAATCCTTATAAATGCTTTATAATAAGGGATATATGTGCTTGGCTGGCTTAAACATGCATTTAAGGCCAGCTAAGGAGAAAGGACACCGTGATAATGCCTAATCCGCAGGTGAGGGCATTAATTATCAGCGTTCAGTCTCCTGAGAACATATTTATTCCCATTCATAAGTACCTTTTTAGTCAGTGTCAAATGGAGTCAACATTTGATGAATTTCCAATATTTGTTGTAGAACTTTTCGTTCATTTTCCTGAACACCCCATCCTTTTTATTTAATAGTTGTCCAAAAGAATCTCCAGATATGGACTTGAAATGCACGTGCGTCAAAACTAATAACATGTAAACTGTCTTGTATCCAGGTGCCAGTGCGTGGTTTATGCAGCAGGCAGTATCACTTCTCAGCGGCCATTATCAAATGTTAATACACGGTCAAGTTGCACGCTGTAGAAAGGGAAACTGTCTGAGGTATTTATGAATGAGCTTCAACTGTACTGCAACAAATATTAAAACATTCTTTCTTAAGGAAATAGAGAAGAGAGTTTTACAAACATGGCTACATACTTGTCAGAAATACAGTTTGTATCAAATACGGTTGGAAAATGTGCCGAAATTTTTTTATTCCTTGTAACTTGGACTTTTTATTCCATTCTATGTTACACAGACTCATTTTGTCTACAATTTCACTATTCTTCTGGCACTGCATCTATGAGACACTAGTACGGTTTTTGCATACACTGTTCCTTTATGGGCAAATTATAGCCATAACATTGTTTTCTACAAATTTCACCGACTTTCTTCGTGATGCATGGAACACAAATATGGTCTGTATAGGATTGGATATGAGTTCCCACTTTTCTGACATACATGTAGCTTTCCATCTACATCGCTGGTCTCATCTCGCATAAGAGCATTTGGGATAAACTTCTAAGGCTCTGCAGTTTTGATCCAACTGGGGTTGCCTGACACCGGCTTGTGACTCCTGATCAACTTTAGCCTTGAGCCTATCAATTCATAAAAAGAAATAACGATAAACACTCTAATAATAAAACAGCATCATCGAAATACAACAGAACGGACAATAATACTCGCTTCAAATTCGTTAAGCTCTGATAAAGACTGGTATCATCTCCACTTCTTGCATTCTTGAATTTGCAAATAAATGCCACATGGACTACACTAGAGATTGCCCTTCTTTCTTTGAAGGTTCCCTAGATTCTAATACGAACTACCCTGGAACATGTCCACTAGAGCGTGTCATTCCCCAGACAGCACGAACCTTCGCTCCCACACTGCTCATCCTCATCCCCAGCTACACTTTGACAGTAGGTGTACAGGTAAGATGTACTGTGATCTTCAGCACAGTTAATCATGTGTTNCATCATCAGACCCGACCGCCACAGTACCTTTTTAGTCAGTGTCAAATGGAGTCAACATTTGATGAATTTCCAATATTTGTTGTAGAACTTTTCGTTCATTTTCCTGAACACCCCATCCTTTTTATTTAATAGTTGTCCAAAAGAATCTCCAGATATGGACTTGAAATGCACGTGCTGAGCTGTGTGCACACACTCGACCAATCAAAACTAATAACATGTAAACTGTCTTGTATCCAGGTGCCAGTGCGTGGTTTATGCAGCAGGCAGTATCACTTCTCAGCGGGCATTATCAAATGTTAATACACGGTCAAGTTGCACGTTGTTGAAAGGGAAACTGTCTGAGGTATTTATGAATGAGCTTCAACTGTACTGCAACAAATATTTAAACATTCTTTCTTAAGGAAATAGAGAAGAGAGTTTTACAAACATGGCTACATACTTGTCAGAAATACAGTTTGTATCAAATACGGTTGGAAAATGTGCCGAAATTTTTTTATTCCCTGTAACTTGGACTTTTTATTCCATTCTATGTTACACAGACTCATTTTGTCTACAATTTCACTATTCTTCTGGCACTGCATCTATGAGACACTAGTAAGGTTTTTGCATTACACTGTTCCTTTATGGGCAAATTATAGCCATAACATTGTTTTCTACAAATTTCATCGACTTTCTTCGGATGCACGGAACACAAATATGGTCTGTATAGATTGGATATGAGTTCCCACTTTTCTGACATACATGTAGCTTTCCATCTACATCGCTGGTCTCATCTCGTGTAAGAGCATTTGGGGTAAACTTCTTTGGCTCTGCAGTCTCGATCCAACTGGGGTTGCCTGACACCACTTCCTCCGGCAGTCGACCGGCTTGTGACTCCTGATCAACTTTAGCCTTGAGCCTATCAAATCATAAAAAGAAATAATGATAAACACTCTAATAATAAAACAGCATCATCGAAATACAACAGAACGGACAATAATACTCGCTTCAAATTCGTTAAGCTCTGATAAAGACTGGCATCATCTCCACTTCTTGCATTCTTGAATTTGCAAATGCAACATGGACTACACTAGAGATTGCCCTTCTTTCTTTGAAGGTTCCCTAGATTCTAACATACGAACTACCCTGGAGCATGTCCACTAGAGCGTGTCATTCCCCAGACAGCACGAACCTTCGCTCCCACACTGCTCATCCTCATCCCCAGCTACACTTTGACAGTAGGTGTACAGGTAAGATGTACTGTGATCTTCAGCACAGTTAATCATGTGCTNGCTCTAGTCCCTCAAGTCAGCTCAGTTGGGATCAGCTTGGGATAACCACTTCAGCTTTGCAGGTGCATACATCAGTGGCAATGCTCCCTTCGCTCTTCATGACGAGTACCAGCAGCATTGTAGGATGAGGTAGGTGTCCTGTAATATCCATCTTGAACAGCAGGGGGTGAATTCGTTGATCTTTCTGGCGGTGAGCTGCAATAACAAAAACAACACTTTACCCTGATTGGCTCCTGTCCTCATGCATATGCGTTGTGATTTTACATAACTTATGCAAGAGATACGTATTCCTTTAAAGTACATCACAGGAAGCAAACATTCAAAGAGATTTCCATAAAATTACATGTAGTGTAACTGGTTAGCACAATCACAATCAGATCAGAAAACCTTTTGAGCAAAACAAATTTTAAAAAGAGGAAACGTGTGAATAACTTCATAAATTAATGCTGATTGGATACATTCCCATCAATTATTTCGTATTGATCAGACATCAAATCATGGTCCTTTCTTGATTTTGAAATAGCATAGGATGACTCAAGAAGACGATGCAACCCCAAACAGCCACTGGAGTAAGGTGTACATTAAAGATGAAAACTGTAAAAATGAAGACAAAATGACACTGGATGAGTGTGGTGTGGTGGTATCAGAATCCATAAAGCAAGATTGCCAGTAAATGCAAGAAAATTAGTCACACAGTCAGAAAACATTTTTGATAATGGGAGTTATATACACACATGGCTTGTTACACTACAGACTTGTATGTCTATGACTTCTACATGTAAGTGCATTTTGCTCAAAGTTAAATACCTTCATTAATACGATGACTGAAAAAATTCTTCTGCTATTGATAAACATATTAATTCTGACTCATTTTACCATAGACATAATCGATTCCATCACCTAAATTGATACGCTAATCTTTGGTCCAAAAGATGATTCACTACTTGGTTATGCATGAGCGCTCCCCACTACTGTGCTCTAACTTTATGGTACATGCTACATATACTCACGGAATCTATCAGAACAAAATGGCCCTTAAATTGTATAAAAACAGCCCAAAGAGTGGGCCAAGCCCCTAAAGGAATACCTATTTCAACAAAATACAAAGAAGACAGAGGCTGCACTAGGACAGACATCCTTCAAAGTTGTATAAAGCGTGATAAGACAGATGTTCAGAAGATTGTGAATACCATCACCGGCATGATAAATCCTTTTGAATCTGATGAAGAGGTGAATCTAGTCCACATTGTATCTGGCATAGTAGCTTCTGAAGATGTAGAAGTTGATCTCTTGTTGCCATATGAAAAAGGAGAGACTGAACTATTTAAGTTCTGCCAAAATCAGCTACAGTCAGCAGACATGGATGAAGAAATTGAAACTCACGACATTCAGTAAAAAGTAAAGAGCAAAGTCAATGGAAAGGAGGTTACACTGAAAGTTGATAGACATCCTCTTACCAGGCTAGAAGCAATCTGAAAATTCCAAAAAGTGGATCAACGTGAACTCCTACGTTATTCCTAAGGTCCTCTTCCTCTTGCTTTAGCCTCTCTGCAGGGATGTCTTGTGAAAACAAAACGCAGACATTACACATGCTTAAAGTCAACCAGAGAAAGCTGCTGTACATATTCCAAGAGGTGGTGTCTATGTAGTTGATGCCAAGGCCATGATACAAAAACTGGATGTTAACAAGCTTGAGGGCCATTGCACCTTCTCAAACCTTGCTCATGTGTTGCTCAGAAGGCTTGTGAAACTTGCTGTAACAACTGGATCAAATGAGATTCACTATGTAGCACCTACAGAGACATATCCATCAAGAATGCAGAAAGAGCAAAAAGAGCTTCTATGGGTTCCTATGTGATGCGTGCGTGTGGGCAGACCATTCCAAAACAATGGAAGAAATTTCTGTCCTTTGGTTCAAACAAGGAAGCACTATTTCAGTACTTATTCGAAACGTGGAAGATGATTACAGTTTAAGCACTCATAAGCTGTGTTATGCGCATGGAAATGTTAAAGCAGGTTGTTGATGAGAACAAGATTGTCTTGACCCCTGACAGCAATGAGAACAACACAGTTCTTTTGTTTGAAGAGATGAAAATAAACGAAACGCAGGACAGATCGTCAGATTCACTGATGAAGGTGAGATTTCACATGAGATCAGCAGCTTTGAATGCAGGTGCAAGGGAGGAGAGGAGGAGGCATAGGTGGGGCCTTGACAGTTCACTGCACATTCTGGTGGCAGTTTACCCCACAACTGGTGCCACTGTAGACCAGCTATAGCCGTGTTTGTGGGAGTGTGTTAACTTCATTGAGACAGCTGGGGTGACAGTCCGAGGTTTTGTTTCTGAAGGGGCATCCTCAAACAGAACATTCTACTGTCTGCATGATTCAAAGTCCCAGCAAGCTGCTACACCATCACAGTGCCCAATGTACTCCACCGAGAGTCACATCGATCCATCTCGGAAAGTCAATTTCATTTGTGATGTCCCCTGTCCAATGAACACTACCAGAAACAATTTTGAAATTCTGACTACAACTGCACACGGAACTAACAACATCCCAGACACAAGTGTTCAACACTTCAAAGATATCGATGCCAGAAGAGTTAATCAGGGAGTCAATTCTCCTGATATGTCCAGCCATACTACCACTCATCAATGTTTGAGCTAAAAGGTCATCACCGCTCAAGGCAATACCAGTCACAGGCAAAATGTCAGAGGTTTGTAATTTCTCATACAATTACAAACAGGTAGTTTGATCTTTTGGTATTATGCAAAATCTGCCCAGCATTAGACTTTCATTATGAGTACAACAGGTTGCGACACAGTAGCCCTTGTTTCAAAGATAACTTTATGCACCAGAAGGTGTCAACAAGACAGATGCACAGAAAGGGAATGTATTTGCATATTGAGAATTACTGAGCCAGCTCTGCTGTCTGACTTGGCCAATTGAGCCGACTCTACTTGGCCTCCTTCTACTTCTCAAGCTAGTTGGCTGTTTTCTATACCAAAATGCTCGTCTTACATACTGTTGAGAGGATAAATCAAGTTGAACCTAAATATTTGGGGGACCGTTTCAGAGTGCTTCGTTTTTATGAATGATGCATTCGCACAGATGAATATATGAAAGCAGATGGAGTGTCAAAGGTTAAAGTAGTTAGAGAGCTATATTATGGTCAAAATTATGGTGGTTAAGAAGCTTTGTTCTGGGAAAATATTGATGAAATATTTCAAAGGCTCTTATTATGAAGTTTTAGCAAACAATCCCCCTAAAAATGTACTAAAATGAAGTGCATTTCATCAAGAACACAGTTCTGTCCTCTGTGCCTTTGCATCTTCCACGGCGAACATGTGCAAAGCTACTGAATGAGACTATTTCACACTGATTGTTCATGAGCAATGAGAAAGCCATGTATGCAGCCGCGGCACTGCGAGGAGGGTTGCAAAGGAGCCATCCGTGGCTTAAAAAAACAATGAAAATAAGGCCAAATTGAGAGAAATCTTTGATGAAGTAGACATAATGAGGTGTGTTTTGATAAGTATTTTTCTTCAGTTACATTGATGGAATATCTTGAAGGTAATGATATCAGGGCTTCTTGCATGATTCAAGTGAATTGGAAGGATTGACCTGAAGGGATGGTAACAATTAAGTTTCGAGAGCACAGTCAAGCTGACCATTGTGCATCAGATCAGGACAGAGTTTCAAATGGATGGACAACACGGGGTACACATGTCACTTCAAAGCCAAGGTGTCTCAAAAATGAAGGATGGAACCATAAAAAATATCCATGCCCAAAAGCCGTGAAAGACTCCAATATGGGAGGTAGGTATTTTTAATTCAACGGCTCTGAGAGGACTGTTTTGTATATACATACAGAAAGATGCAAAAGAAAGAACAAAGAAGTATTTCTGCGCAGCTCTTTGAGAGACAAACAAAGGATTCCCATTGGAACTGTATGAAATTTGTCTGTTAATTTCACTGCCTGAGACAACAGAGAGCCAGACATGTAGGCATATATAGGTTTTGCCCAGCACCCATCTTTCTGGTAACTACTGCTGTTATAGAGGAATGACACAAAATGTCTACTCATGTGTATCCCTGTGGAGCAAAAGCTCTTACCAGAAATATGACTGCAATGCTTAGCCTCCATAGTACAAGTACAAGGAGGCAAAAGAATAGATGTTTGGTACTACAAAATCGGAAAATAGAGTTTAGTTTTTCAACTTGCACTCATGAGAGCCTAACGCAAGAATGACAATCGGCGCTTATGGCCAGTGCTACAAGGCTGGAATCACGTGTTCAAATACTAAGTGTTAATAGGTCAACGGAACAAAGGATTATGTGACATGGAGTGTGCAGACCATTTCTTTCTGATGGCAGAGAGCTGGTTTAGTAATGTCAATATAGGTAGCCTCAAGTATGCGCAGATGACTGAAATTGTGTGCTTTGGCTGGTACATTCAACTGCTGCTCGTTTTCTTGTTCAGAGCATTCCAGGTGACCAAGCAAGGGTTGCCCTATGGCTTAGGTATTTGCCACAAGTCTTTCTTTGAGTGGGGTGGCTGCTTACATGTCTTTCTCGCATTACGCTCGGATGAGTGCAAGTTGAAAAGTACTTAAGCATGCCTTTTTCGTTACTGAACTCTATTTTTCAGAGGCAAAAGAGAAATTAGGTTAAACTTGTTTTGTCTGATGTCACAGACATGTGGTACACATGCTAACGTACATATACATGTACGTGTACATGTATGTCTGCTTTCCTCTCAGATGAGGCTTGAGTTGTCAGAACTATTTAATCAGCTTTGTCTTTCAAAAAAATGTCTTGCTGCATTGCCAGTTACTTTCAGTCCACCTCCTACTCTTTAAGTAAATGAGTCACATCATCCATGTTGTTTCAACTGCCGACTATCTAGCATTTGGCATTTCAAGAGGAGAGTGAAACAGATTTTGACACAGTCTCCATAAAACAATGACTGCAGTGTCAATGAACACACACATTGCCCTTTCAAACTTCAATAATTTTCATTTTGAGATGCACTGCCCATGTCAGTCAGAGACAATGACCCAGCTACTGTATACCACCCAGATTTGAGGCAGTTTTGAGGGACAAGAGCACACTTTCTCCCCTAACACCAGGATTTAATCCACCTGACCCCTTTAGAAAGGTGTTGAAACCCTAAAACAGAAAGAACCAGAGCATTCACTTGGCATTTCAAACAGTGTGCCGTTTGTCTTTGTGGGTGAGTGTACAGTGTGTATACATCATCATCATGTACCAGTATGTCGGGTGAAACCTCCAATTCTATCAGAACCATACACACTAAATAGAGAACTACCTGTTTACACGTTATTACCGAAACCTTGTGTTTAATATTTTTATCATGTACATGTATGTAACCAAAAGTAATACTAGCCTTCATTCAAATCTTTATGGACCAAACAATAGAAATGGACACCAATAGATAGATGTATGAAGCTGTCTTATCCAACATGGAGTATTACTATACAACAACCCTGATGAGTGAAATGAAAAAAATTCTTAAAAAGTAGTCGACTGACCATTTAGTAAGAGCTGCTCCAAAGCCCATCAACTCACACTATCCATAAACCTTCACATAAGGCAAGGATGTACACTGTCTCCGTCAGCCAGGGATTTACACCCAGCTAACACCCTGATGTGAGGCCATTCCAGGGAGCCAGTCTCATCCAAACCCACTTAAAAGTGCTTACTTCTTGGGCCAATGTCAAACATGTTTGATGGAAGTGTCTTCCTGAAGGCTCTATAACATCACCATTTGCTGTCAGGCATAATAACATGTCCATTTTATGCAGTGCCAAACTTGCACTCTCTAGGTTTTCACTTGCTCTTTTAGGACAGAGACAGGAAACATAACTTTCCAGTTCCATTTTCACTTACTGGCAGTTTGATGCACCGTTAAAATTACAGAGTTCTATTTCTACTTAATTACACGATTATTGTGACAAATAACAAAACAACTAATGAAGGACTTTCCCTGGCCTCTTTGCTTCACTGCAATATGGTGACACATTAAGGTAGTTTTTCACATGCCTTCATTTTCAATTAAGTAATTCCACTGTAGACATCAAGATACATGTAGCTACAAGAAAGGTTCATTATTTCCTGCCAGTGTCTAACAGGCAGTGTGACAGTCCATGGTCAGAGTAGACCTACTGCCCTGACTGGCACATGTACTTAGTTTTTACTTCCAATGGGTAGACAGAAGACAATGTGATAACTGCCAAAGGTATCTGTGTGCTTAGAGTCAGAAAACATGCAACAATCCATCAGACATTCCTTTGTCTGAGTGGAGAGAGGCCATGACATTTAAATCATAGTCTCCAACTAATCTGGGCGAAGAACATTCATGGCTGATTGAAGCAGTTGTCTTGAGGTTTATCTCAGAACTTCACTTTACCACGCTTTCATGTCAAGACACTTCCAAACCATGCCTATATCAAAAGTCCATTAAAATGTCATATGACCATCGCCAAAGAACTGAAGTCTGCCTTGACTAAACAATTTCACTCGAATGAAAAGCGGCCAGTGGCTAAAAATAGATTCAATTTGAACCAAATCTTGAAACCCTGCAATAGACTACTGAAACAGGTTTTGGCTGATTTCACCACAGTGATTTCAAATGTAAAGCATCCTGGCCAGTCACAAATTAATGAATTGTTAACAGAAATGTTGATTGGGCTGTGGGAACAGTGAGTGTCTAAAGATGTCTTTCAAAAGATGTTTTTATACTGTAAGTTCAGCTACAATTTAGAATACAGGTCTACATTGCATGTATAACAAATCACTTTTTTGATACGCTAAATTAAATAAAAGAATCTTCAAACTATATACGTTTTTTCAAATATGAGCAATATCTTTTTTGGAAAAATTAAGGAGGACACTTCCAGTCATCATTTGATTAGAGACATAAGTACTATATTGTAGAAATGACAAGATGTGCTGACACTCTATAGACCTTCTGCACTGGCAGCCATGACAGGGGGCAGGTTTGCCCATTTGATTTAATACAATCCACAAAGTACCCAGTCATGCATTATGCACTGAGTCAATGATGGGCACCATGAGAAGGGTCTATAGTATTCAAAAAGCATGCTTAAATGCAAATTTTAACTGAGAGAGAAGCATCCTACCATGTATGTATGTAATTATCAAGTTTTGGGTCTACAGTATTACTGAGACATTGTAAGTTTAACACCTCATCTCTGGATTCTGTATCTTGATTAGCCGAGGGCAAGTCATGTGCCTTTGGTATTTTGCATTCTTGCTGTGTAAAAGAAGTAATACACCAATAGTAACCAAAGTACTGCAACTTTAACAACCATAGCAACACCAACCATAACAACTTGTGTGCCATAAACATAATAGTGACTGGTTGTGCGCAAATAGTTCTACAGGTTGTACCCATTATAGCAGGGTGGAAACATTTTTCTGAGACAACTGAACCTTCAAAAGATTTCATACATGTATTTACATTAAGAGGTTTTCCATTCCAATTGTAATTTCATTTAAATTAAATAATCAGTTATTGCTTGTATGGCAGAATCTGTGGTAGAGATGTTGTGAAACAAATACATATACCTCACGATAAGGTGAAACTTGCCTCCCCCGGTGATCCACTGAGCATTCTGTTTTCCCTCTGCTTCCTGTCATGAATGCTGCAACAATCACCTGGAGAGGCAATGTACATTGCTCCTTCCAAACCAACTAATGTTATTTTTTTTTTAAATTAAAATTATTGAGTCTTAGAGCAGATATTTGTGAACATGTACACTGCTTGATTAAATTTTATGGACACTGCAAAACACTGTTGAAATGTCCATTCAAAATCTTACTAATGTCATACAGCCAAGTACAGTACCATTACACAGAAACTCTTAATCCAGTACCAATACAAATACTTATAAAAGAAGGAAGTGGGACTGAATAAACAGGTGCAGAAAGACATGCTCTACAAAAACAAGACTGGAAGTAAGGTACTGTGACATGCATATGTAAAATACATGTAATGTAAAATATTCCTGAATCGCTGTAGTTATTATGTTAGAGTGTACTTTGTGGCCATAGTAATGATTAGGCAGCTACATGTACTTAATTTTGACATGCACAATGTAGAAAGAAGAATTTGAGTTATGAACTGCAGTTTGCACTGTACACCAAATTAATTGGTTCTCTTACTTGTCAAAACATATACAGTGCGGGAACAGTTTTTGCTGACGTGGGCAGCTGGAGTGGATGGTGGTACTTCAATTCAAAGACTTGGCAGTGATGAAGAGAAGGCTCCAGGCTCAAGTAGTGTGTTCAAGGTAATGTCCACACTTTGCATGAAATTAAAAGCAAAGTGAAAGAAGAAAGAAAGCCACAAGATAAAACAAGGTAAAAAAGACATAAACAAACAACATGTGAACAGCCTGAGGTCCAAACAGATGAAGTCCCCGAACTGGCCAAAGAGCCACATGTTGATCATAATTATAGTCTTGATTATTCTTGTGACCCTTCATGTAAATGTGCTACAAAAAGAAATGACTTGAAAAGGGCCTTGCATGCAATGGATGAACAACTTCAGGAAGAAAAGACAAAAAATATGGCTGCAAAAAAAAAAAAACCTGTTAAAGCAGATACTATGCGCTTCCTAAGAACAGATAAAAAAGTCAAGACATTCACTGGTCTGGTGAGTAATAAAGCATTCAATGATTTGTTAAGGTACGTGTCTCCAAAAGCAGCAAAAATGAGATACTGGTATGGGAAAAAGAGAGCAGTGTCTACACCTTGTAAGAGGAAATATAAGAAAACTCCTAAAAAAACTGGACCACAACGTAAGCTTTCGTTGAAAGAGGAACTTCTGCTTGTATTAATGAAGCTTAGGCTTGGTACGAAGAATGCCTAGCTGGCTGAATTGTTTTCAATCTCCCTAGGAACATTCTCAGCCATTTTCAATACGTGGATGAAATTCTTGGCAAGTTGAGACCATTAATTTTTTTCCCAAGTCGAGATTCAATCAGGTTTTCATTCCTTAAATCGCTCAAACCAAAGTACAGTAATTTGGTATGTGCTATTGATTGTACCGAGGTATTCATTGAAAGACCAAGAAATCTGGAAACACAGTCTCTAACATGGTCCGACTATAAGAAGAATAACACAGTGAAATTCCTGGTGGGGATATCACCAAATGGCCACATTTTGTTCCTGTCACAGGCATGGGGAGGGAGGGCATCAGATATACATATAACCAGAACAAGTGGTTTCTACAACCATTTGGAGAGAGGAGACTTGATCCTTGCCGATAAGGGGTTCATCATTAAGGAGAATCTCGTATGCATTGGTGCCCATCTTGCCATCCCACCCCGGAGCTCCGGCCAGGCTCAACAGTCTAAGCAAGATGTACTAACAACCAAGAGTGTGGCCAATGCACGTATTCATGTAGAAAGGGCAATCGGTAGGATCAAGCACTTCTCTACTGAAAAGCACATTGCCTTTGACCATGGTTCCGGTGACAGATGAAATTGTAATAGTTTGTGCTGCATTGTGTAATTTGTTGCCTCCTCTTACAGAATAAGGTTTTTTTTCAGGATAAAAGTTTCTTGTTATGGACCAAAAATGCATCACTGAAATGCATTCTGAATGTTCCATGTACAGTTTTGTGATTAACAAAGGAGGCTACAGGCTCCTCGTCCTCCCAAAATAAAAACAAACAGTTGAAGCCCCATTTCAAATCTTAAATCGTAGTCCAACAATGAATGTTATATATCAACCTTTTGGAAAAGTTTAACTTTATTTGATTTTTTGTCCCAGTGACAAGTTCAACCTGTATTTGAGTTACCCTAAGCCATTACTGAACAAACTGTTGAGTTTACCCACACCTTTTACACCATACCGGTATCTGGAATAGAAACTGTAGCAAATTGTATCTCTTTAAACAGTTTGAGCATAGAACTGTGCCTGAATTCCATTCTGTAGATATGTAAACTAACCGTAGGTGAATAAATTACTGATACATGTACAGTTCTTTAACTATCCGTACAGGAAGGACAGGTCCACTGACAATTTGCATTTGTCCCTGAATCAAAGTCAACACAGCCCCAATGAAACCATACTTGGCATTGGTCACATTCTACACTGAACTCAGAATCATTGACAATATCCATTGACATAGCTTCAGGCACTTCCCACATTTGAACTCGGGTTTCTCTGTTCTTCTGACGTATTTTCTTTTACCCTTTCCCCCCTTTTTCCTTTTGGAACTTGTAGCAAATGCAGTTGGACATATATTTAAGGGAGAGTTGTCATCCTGTACTGGGTGAGCAGAGACTATGTGATCATCAGAGGAATTGCCTTGTGTCTCATGTGAAGACAAGGGTGCTGTGAAGCAGGGAATGTTCGAATCGTTTTTGGCAAGAAGTTCCTTTTCCACATAGTGCTTAAAGAAGTAAATGCATGCTTCTTCAATTTCCTTCCAATGAACATCATCAAACTGAACTCGGCACACTAGTTGACCTGCAGCTGAATGAACAATGAAATCACACCATTTCTTCTGGGTGATGCCAAGTTGCATGGTTATTTGAGAATAGTACTGGTGGGTTTTTTTAAGTTCAGGAGGTTTACCACCATCATATTGTATATATTCTGGCATTGTCCTGTTTGGATCAGTTCCGGCCAAAGTTAGTGGACATTTGATTTCAACCAATAGACCATAGGCCGAGGTCGATTATTGTGTTCGTTCGTGATCTTGTCTTTGGGAGGAGATGAGAACCCAAGAATTACATGGAAAATATTATCTTAATGAAGGAAATGAATGTTCACTCTAGCAGAAGTGGCACTTTATGGGAAAAATTTGAGAAAAAATGATCGATTTCCGACTGTTTTAAAAGAGTTGACAAAGACTGATTTGCACCCAATCAAAATTGGTCTTTTATTGAGAGTCCTATCGGCGTCCAATCAGCGCGCTCATTACATACTTATTCCATGTTGGACAACGTGGCGACTTCGGAAGCTGATGACGGTCGCGAAAAGCTGTCTCCGTATTCCTGCATTTTGCACTGTGATCCAGGAGCGAAAGGCAAGATAACAACATTTTCTGAACAGAGCTGGTCTCGCTGCCTTGAGTTCGCCAACAAATGGAAAACTCTAGAGGGAAAGCAATCAGATATAGCGAGAGATTTCTTGGCCAAACAGAGCGACTCAGATCTGTGGCAGAGAGCGGCTGGCTTGGCGTCGGTCGGTGGACCACCGCAGCACACTGGATACCATCGATCTTGCTACGCTCGGTTCACGGACAAAAACAAGTTCGAGAAAGTTAAAGCCGTCCAAGAGAAACAACTACAGGAATTCCCTGAAACCGGTACAGTTCACATTTTTACATGGGCCTAAGCTATATTGATTTTCATCACCTAACGACATGAACGAGTAGCATTGGCCATCATGGCCATGTTGGCGTGATTAGGGGGATTGTGTATTTGGGGACCCTGTTCCTGTGATACAATTGTACTCATGTACATGTAGGCCTGTTATGACACAGAAATATATGATTTCAACTTTTGGACTTGCCTAGGTAGGTGATTTATGGCATCGTGTTGAATAATTGCAGGGTTAATTTGGTAGGAAAAGGAATTGTTTTAAGGAACATATGAGGTGATAAGGCGATTGTTTTAGAACATGGTGGAGTCTAAGTTGCACGGCTGGTTTTTCAGTAAAAAAAAAATCACATTTTCTCTCAATGTATAATTTTAAATCAAATAAAAAATCGGGTCAATGCAATTTTCAGATTGTTGTCATTCATTTTGGGGGGAACTGACCAGTTTTGCAAGATCAGAAATACTAACATGTCTACATACATGTAGGCCTACATGTAGTTGGTGGTTGGGGGTCAACAACTACACAATCCCCATGTTTAGGAGTAGTTAGAGAGGCGTATCTTGCACATGAGGCGGTGGGTGGTGGTGGGAAATGGTGGCAAAGGGCGTGGCCACCATGTCGGTGGAGGCGGAAGAAAAAATGGCGGAGGTTGTGGAAGTTGGGGTGGTAGTGATGTGGAGGTGGTAGTGATGTGGAGGTGTGACGGAAAGTGCGATGACCCCGATGAGCTTAAAGGTGGTGGAATAAAAAGGCATTTTCCCGGGGCGAAGTCCCGGGTTGAGTGGAGTGCCGTGTAGGGACTCGGGGCCTTACCTCACGGTAGTGAAGAACTGGCGTAAGCCAGTTAGGGAACGAGTGACGAAGTCACGAAGTGGACACGTAAAAATCAAATCAGAACAATAAAATAAATAAATACAATAAAATTCAAAACAAAAAAAACGTTTGGATTTTCTGTTAAAACTGGAAAGTCTGTTCGAATGCATCTGATGCATCATCAGACCGTCTCGTACCCCCTTGGTTGCCGGAGAGATTGTATAGGCTACGTATCCTTGATTGATGCACGTTCCGGAGGCATGTGGCGACAAGGGTAGTGGAGACAATGGAGTGGGATTAGTGACGTTACGGGCAGGTTCGGACAAGATCGCCAGGACAATGGATGGCGCCTTGGACAAGTCAAAACAAGTGTATTTTGTCGGGCACGGATTGGTTGGCAGTCGAGTTAATCAGCAGCGTATATAAGCCAGGGCAGCGCAGGGTTCGTCATTATCTCTGCAAAATGTCTCAAGACGCCTTTAGATGTGCTTCACCTGATCCGACTGCATCCCAACTGCAGCAGATTGCCAGAATGGAGGAGGAGGCATGGTTTAGTGAGTGTTTACCTGACCCAACATCCTCCCAGCTGCAGACCATCGCGGCAATGGAGGATGATCTGATGGCCGGTACATCCGCTCAAGGTGGCGGTCAAATGAAGGTAAGTCTGTTTTGATTTTTAAGCCCAGTTGCATTCGAGTTGAAATTGTAATCGGCATACGTGGAAATGTGAAGTTGTTTAGAGTTATCTTGATATCAGAACCGTTGCCAATTGTCACTCTCTTTTTTTTTTTTTTTTACTCCGATGCCCGAATTTGTGAATGAAACTTTATTAAGCGTGATGCCGTTTGTTGGAGTATTGGTTTGAATTTGTTGTTATCATTTACTATTTTCATGTCAGTGTAAACAAGAGTTTCATTTTGTCATGGGGGTCTGTTTGATATCTTTCTATAGGCTGAGAAAGAAGAGGAAGTTCCAATGGACGGTGCCCCCATCGCGCACACACCTCCGCTTCAGCCGCGGGCGGGGGTTTTCTGCGACCTGTGCAACAGGGAATTCTCCAGAAAGGACAGCCTCAACAGGCACCGATGGCGCAAACATCTAAACGCCGGGACTGAGCTTCCTCGTTTGCACCTACCCTGCAGCCAATGCGGCAAGATATTTGACAGAAGAGACACTTTAAGAAAGCACAGGAAAACCCACAGTGGTTCACAGCCGGTGCCTTCACCCCTTGGCCCGATTCGTTCCCCTTTGGCAGCCGTGGCTGGGCCACCACAAAAAGGTCAATCCCAGACCTTCAGCTGCGAACACTGCCACAAAAAATACTCTCGGCGGGACAATCTTCGGCGCCACATAAATTCAACACATCGCCGGCGAAATAACCTCCCACCGGCGGCTCCATCGGCGGCTCCACCGGCGGCTCCACCATCTCCCCTGCCTCTTCCCGTCCCGCCTCCTATTTTAGCTACCGTCCAAGCAGGCCCGCTGGAGGAGGACCCAGACTAGTTTCCAGTAGACAACCTGGATGAGTTATTGGAAGTGCTCATAAACCCGCCGGAACCAGGCTTCGAATTACCCGGGTGCACACGTGCACCGGTGCATGCGATTTTTTCAACGTGCATGTAGCTCCATTGAATAACATGCACGCTGTGCATGTGNAATTTTTTTCAGCCTTTTCGTTTTTAGAGTGTAGTTAGTGTGAATTTGACAAGTTAACCATGCCCAAATTCCATTTATTTCCAATATTGTTCGACAGAAAAAAATCAGATTGCGTATAGGCCTACATGTAATGTGTCTATCTTTGCTTTTACCGTAATTTACTTGGCTAGTCCATGCATTATCTTCTCTCGCTCCCCATGCATGTACAGATTTAGCTCTAGCGAAAGACATACGTACGGATGTAGCCTAGCCTAAATACAACCACACAGAACGTTGGCATTACCCGGGAACAGTGCGCGTACATGTAGCTAACGTGTATGTGGTCAAATTTACGTCTGGAGTAAAGACTAGCACAGGGGTACCAGCAATTGATGCATTGACACTAACCCCTATCGAGCGCACGTGTGTGTGTGTGTTGTATACAGAAACGTGCGTGTGCGCATGCACATGTACATGTTTTCGCGTCGTATACGTATCGTGTGTTTATGGTAGTCGATTTTTTGACAGCCGATCTTCAGTACACGTGTTTGATACGGGCGCTCTTTGACAGTTGGACAAGTACAATGCCGAAACAAACGCTGCTAACGTTTTGGAAAAAAGAGCCCAAAAGCGATGATCCCCAATCCGGTGGCCATGGTAAGTCTGATAGACCCGAGACTGCCGAAATATTCCCTGGAAGAGCTGATGATTCGGGGCCCGACAACCAGTGTGACAACAGCCCGCCGGCGCCGCCTGCCCAGATTGCTGCTGGCCTCTTGTGTGGTGACACCGCCACTCCCGGTCATGCCGGTGGGAGTGCTGATGTATCATCGGGTTCCGGAAAAAAATATTCATTCCAAACAATATGGAAAGATGGGAATGACTGGCTCGTGTATGACAGTGTTAATAAATCCATGTTTTGCTCATATTGCCAGACATTTGACAAGTCCGGGAAAAAAAATGCTTTTCGGGAGGGGGGGTGCAAGTCCTTGCGCTGGTCCAACATTAAAGCTCACAAAGTGAGTGAAGTGCATATGAAAGCCAGCGCTGCCAAGAAAGTATCAACTTTGGAGAGAAAGGACAGACCAATGGAGAAGCAAATCCTACAATTAGGAGATGGGGAAGTAGAGAGAATGAAGAAATATTTCAGGACTGGTTTTTACATAGCTCAAGCTGGGAAACCTTACT